TTTTGTGGCTAAAGCAACAACTACTGGACTATGGAGTCAAGACAAAGGAAGTGACAATCTTTTGTGACAATCAAAGTGCCATAGCCATCTCTCAAAACCCAGTGCATCATTCTCGCACTAAGCACATTGATGTCAAGCATCACTTCATCAGAGATCATGTGGAAAAGAAAGATATCAAAATTGAGTATATCTCAACTGAAGAACAACTGGCGGATATCTTCACCAAACCACTAAGTGAAGCCAAGTTTTCCAATTTGCTTCACAAAATTGGTCTAATTCAATTAGACTGAGTGTGGTACACGTGGCAGTTCATTTTCCACGTATGTCAAAATGATGGGTGGGGACGTGGCCTTGGGAACAGTTAAAAACCCAATCGCCAATCGCCACATCAAACCCAATCGTCACTATAATCAGACCTCAACTGCCCACTCAGCACACTCAAATCTTTCATCGCCTTCTTCACGAGAATCGTCTGATAAAATTCTCAAGAACCCTAATTTCTTCAGATCTTCTCAATTTTCTGAGAAAATGAAGGTTGTCGGTGCAAATGTCCACTTCCAGAAGTTAGAAGCCAAGTGCTCATCACCAACATTCTTTCAAAGCTATCTGCAAATGATAGCCGCTCAAGAACTCTCCGATTTTCTTCAAATGGAAATTCGCCTCAAATTCGAGGAAGAAGTTCTTGAATTCTACAGAAATGGAGAGTTCAAAACTGCTCATTCAAAGAAGAACCCACAGAGGATGTTTCCAGTCATCAAGTCCACTGTTGGAGGTACAAAAGTGAAGCTTTCGCAAAAGAAATTGGGAGAAAAGCTTCGCCTTCCCAATTCTGGAGTTGAAGTTGGGAAATTTCCAGTCAAAAATCTGGACTGGAACATCATTGGAATATCTGGGCAAGTTCCTTCTGGCCCAGCGAAGAAAGCAGATCTAAACAACGATTACAAGTTGGTTTTGGAACTGGTCATCGCTTGCCTCGAGTGTGGAAGTGGAGGTCATGCCGATGACATCACCCAGGAGAGAGCCTTCATCATCAACTCTCTCATTACCAAAACTAAGGTAAATTGGGCTGCACACTTTTTCAAATCCATTTCAAAACATCTAGGAAAGCACAATCAGAAGTATCTCTGTCAAGGTCTGTATATTGGACACATTTTGGAATCTATGGGCGCTGCAGTTAAAGGGAAAAAGTATGAAGCCAGATACTGGTTGTACTACTTATCCTCCAAAGGAGAAAACAGAGCTAGTGCTAGTGCCACTGCAGAAGAAAGCTCATCAGACAATGTTCCACTCATCAATTTCGCAAAGACTACCAAGAGAAAGCATGTGGTGTCTCCCTCTCCCAGTGCTGAAGCACCACAGAATCTTGCTCCAATAAATCTTGAAGAAGAAGAAGAATTCTCTGACCAAGGAGAACTTCAAAGGAAGAAGAAGAGGAAGATCAACTCTCCATCAACATCTGGAAATGTCATTTCGGATGAGTTGAAGGAGAAGGAACCTGTTGAGGAAACCTATGCTCAAAACCGGAGCCCTCAACAACTTGAAGAAGAAATTCCTCAAGTCCAAAGCCTTCCAACCTCATCACCTCAACCTCAAATAGATGATGCAGATAACCAATTCTGGCAGCTCTACTATGGGTGGAAAGCCTGGAAAGTTGGAAATTCAGCAGAGCAACTGTTGAATTGGGACCAACAACTGAAGAATGAAAAGATCATCAAAAAGTGCTTAGGAATACCAGTCAACCACAACTATGAGCAAATTTTGGATGAATACTGGGTATGGCAAAGGAATCCTGAAGACTTGCATCTGGAATACCTGGCCAACACACCAGTTTCAGACTTTGAAGCAGATGATGAAGATCCTGCAGTCTTCAAGTCAGTCTACTCAAAAGACACAGAGGATCAAGTGGTTTTCACTTCTGAAGCACAAGGTGTTTTGGAAGCAGCAGCTGAAGATTTCCGAACACTTCCGGAAACCTCACATGTGTCTGAAATGGTTCTAACTGAAGTTGTAGAAGAGAAGACAACCTCACCCCCACAAGAACAGAACCAGGAAACAGCAAAAGAAGAAGAATTTCAGCCACTAATCCCATCTAAAGTTTTGGAGATTCTCACCACTCCTTGTGAGATCTCCAATCCTACTGAAATTGAAATCCCGGAAAAGTCAGCAGAAATCCTGGAACAGTCAGCTCTTCCAGAAACAATGGAGCAAGCTGTTGAAGCACAAAGGAATTCTGGAGAAGCTAAAAAGGGAACTCAAATGGAAGAACTAGAGGTCTCTTAAACTCCAGTAGTCATTTTTGAAGAAGAGAATACAGCTGAAGAAAGAGACTCCCTCTCTAGGGATATATCAAATTTTGCGCTTGATGAAGCAGAAGGAGAGTCTGAAAGAACACTGAAGGTTACTGATGAAGAAGATGCACAAGAAGATGCTGAATCTCTTCCTATGCAACTCTTCCAAAGAACACCATCCTCTCATCAGGTAACTAACTTTCATTTCCATAGTTCTTCCACCCCTACTCTTCCGGATGAGATACCGGAAATCTAGACAAAGAAGGTCCAAGGGCTGATTGAATCAGCCCTAGCATCTCAACATGCCTCCTTTAGGCAAGAGATAGAGCAAATGGAAGTCAGGCACACCCAGGTGATAGAAAAATCTGAAGGAAAACACAGCGCAGATCTCAAAGAAATAAGCAAATCAATGCAGAAGACTCTGGAGATCATCTCTCTATTGAGTGAAACTGTGAGCAACACGATGGAAATATATGCCTCTGACAGTCAACTTCAACTCAAAGAGATCAATAAAGTCAAAGAGCAAATAGCGAGTGTCACAGTTAGTCTCCAAAAACAGATGTCCCTTCTCCAAATGGACATCAGATCAGCCCTAGCAGTAGATTCTGCAAATCAGGTAGTGACCAAAGACTACTTGAAGGTGATCATTGACAATCAAAAGGAAGCATACAAGCTGTTCAGACTTATTGGCGCAAATTCTGGAAACCGCAAGATGGAAGTGATTCTCCAACAACACAGTCCATCTCCAATACCAGAGCTCCCTATTGCAGTCAAAGAAGGAGAAATATCTTATATTCCTTCTCATCTGAACTTGACAAATCTAATCCTTGAAGCATAGCAAAGAAATCCGGAAAACTCACCACAGCTTCTATCCAGCTCAGGACTGGATGGAACAAAATTTATAGGTACAGTTGTTGACCACTTCTCAAATGATGCTCAATCAGAAGAAAGACGTGAAAATTTAAGGCGTATCAAAGAACTGTGTGAGAACATGAAGGGCATCAGTGAGGTTGCCGGATCTTCAAAGCGCAAGAGAAACTGAAGGTTCTTTTCATCAAAACAGGGGGAAAGTATGTGAGAACACTAATGTGTTTTGATGCAAACACCTTCTTGTTTAAACATTGCTTGATTGGTTTAAACATTGAAATATTGCTTCAACAATTTTCTTAATTATGCTTATTATGCTTGATTATGCTTATCTCAAGTATGATTCTGAGAATTTTTTTTTAAGCGCATACATTCAGGGGGAATGTATTTCAGGGGGAACTTAACTAATGTTTGGCTAACAATTGTTTTTGGCAATGAATTATTGATAAGCTCTAAGCAATGGAAGACGGATATCTCAGTTTTGGTACTAAAATTGGAAATCTCCGATTCAGGTACTTTACAAAATCTTCCTTCTTAAACTATGCTTCAGTCCTTAATTCATTTCCAACAAGCTCTAAAAGTACTGGTCCCTAGGATGTTTAAAATGTACAGGACTCTGGAAAAATAGTACCATTTTTCTTTTAAAATAATATTCATATTTGTTTTGGTGCTACCTCGTCCTAAGTAGAAATTAGAACTATAGGGAATGAAAAATGATAGTTTTATTTTGGGCCTTGAGAACCCAATAGGAATAATTTCCCTTTAGTACGTAGCTTTCTGTTCTTTTTGGGCCACTCTTTTGGGCTTAGCCATACTAAAACAGTTATGATTCTCAAACCAAACGAAACTGACTTTCAAATTGGAACAGTTTCAACTCATTGGTAATTGGTAAAAGATTCCTTCCACTTTTCAACCTCTTGGAAGTTGAAACTCTTTTACTATCACCGTTCCACCTACCAAATTAATGGAACCCGTGAACCCTCTCTTCTCCTATTTAAATCAAGATATCTCAATCCATTTCCATCACAAACAACTCTCTCAATATGAAAAGTCCTCAAACTCACTGTCTAAGAAACACACCAAGAAAAATATCCTAAATGGAGAAATTTTTCTTTCTCACCCTCATAGACGGCAATGGAAGAAGCCTATTGAGAAGAAAAGACTTTTAAGGTCTATGGTGAGAATCTCGACAGTAGAGAAGGTCTATGGTGGAAATCTCGTATTTTTCAGTATTAGACCATACACCTTCTCTGGAACAACACTCTCTCCATCTTTCTTCTTATTTTGAGAGATGTGTTGCTTCCAAGATCTTAAATATCCACTTTGGATATTAAAGATCTATCAAACGCAACGCCAACCGCTCTGCCAAGCAGAATCTGCTGAAGCTGAAAACGGTCAATGGCGAAAGAGATCACAAAATCTCAAGACAAGACTTGGTTTAGGAATTATTGTAATTTGAATTGTATTTGTTTAAGAGTTTTTGTTAACAAGCTGTATATTATGAGAAACTAAAAGAAAGTTACAAAATTAGTTCTCAGTACAGCGACCGGAACTCTTAAACACTTGTTTGTCATCATCAAAAAGGGGGAAATTGTTGGGAAGAATATCATAGATTTTGATGATGATGGATTTAGAATGTAATAGGGACTTTAGGTCTCCCCCAATATTCAATGTAATTTTTCCTTTTTAGAAATATTGTTAAAACCTGTAACACCCAAACCCGCGTAACCCAAACCCGTGAGACCGCGGACCGGTGTGCCACTGTATTGGTATCCGAATATACAACATTTTCAAACAATTTTAAACAAACGTTCTTTCAATACATATAAAAATCCATCAGAGTAATTTAAAATAATGCGGAAGCCTTTTTAAAGTCAAACAACTTGGGATCTTGCCCGAAAACGTAATAAGCATTAAAGTTAATTAAATAAAGCATAACAACAGATTAAAGAGACAGCCACGCCATCGTACATCTCCTCCTCAATGCCCTCTGGGATCGGCTCTAGGTTCATCTGTCTGATCACCTACGGACAGCAAAAAGGAAAACAACGCTATCCGCTCAGCATTGACGCTGAGTGGCACTCCATTGTAGCACAAGAATAAACATAATAATTCAATGATTAGATCGTGCATATGTTTATCCTTTTAATAAAAATCAATTCAACTTTACATTCGGTTCTTTAGACGGTTGACCAACAGTCAACTTATTTTCTTTCTTTTCAAAACGATTTAGGTGTTA